GCAATGTAGTTTTTCAAAATGATCAAGTTGGGATTTGTTCCCCCAGCAATACAAGGATAATTTAACATTAGGAAACCTATCAATGTCCTTCATGACATTCACACATTTAATAAAGGCCATAAGATTTAGAAACTAAACAACACACTTTCCTCAACTGATGCCCAAAAATTATACAATAAAATTAAATACCCATACACACAAACAGAAATTTCTACCAAATAGAACATAAATTCTTAATCTTATTTTTTAAAGGTTATCTACCAAAACCTACCTCTAAAATCACACTAAGCTGTGAAAAATTGAAAGCATTTCCCTGGAAGTTATGAATAAGACAAAAATGTCTACTATTCTGTCCCTATTCAATACAATCTTGGCTATGCAATAAGTCAAGAAAGAATACTTTGGAAAGAGCAAAACAAAGTTGTAATCATTTGCATATTTCATGATTACCTCACATAGAAAATCTAAAATAAAAAATCTGCAACAAACCTAAAAAAAAGTTCAGCAAAGTTGCAGAATATAAAATCAACATAGAAATAAAATTTTGTTCCCATACACCAGCAGCAGGCAGTTAGAAAACGTAGTTTTTAAAAAGAACTATGAGAGCAATGAAGATAAAAAAAAAAAACAACTATGCCGAAAATTAAAGATGCTATTGAAAGACAGAAAAGAAGACCTAAATAAATGAACAATATACCATATTTATGGATGGGAAGACTCAATATCAAAATGATTTAAATTCTCCTCAATTAAATAATAAATGTAGTACAAATAAAAATTCCAATGGAGTTTTTCACAAACAAGAGCAAAGGGCCAAGGGTAGCGAAGATATTGCTGAAGAGGTTGAAAAACAGGTCAAAGGGAAGCCTTCCCTACTAGCTTAAGAGTTTTTTTTATAAGTTTAATTAAGACACTATGGCTTTTGCCATAGAAGTGGACAAAATGACCAGTGGAACAGATTAGGAAGCCCAGAGACAAAACCATACAGGAACAGAACCTTGACATGACAGAGGTAGCATTATAATCAGAGGGAAAAGGATATAACCCGTAATAAGTATGTTGGATTGTTATCCATGTGGGAAAAAATTTTAAATCAGATCCTATTTCATACCATACACATAGAAGTGGATTAAAAAGCTACTATTATAAGCAAGCATTTCAACATTTTTAGAAGAAAATATAGGGATGAGCTTATGACAACCAATTGGGGAAGGGATTCTTAACTAATCTATAAAAAGCATAAACCATAAAGGAAAAGACTGATACATTTGACCACAATAACACAAAACAAAGCAAACAAATTTTCTCTCTTCAACCAAAGTGAAAAGGTAAGCTATAGACTGCAAGATGTTTGCAGCACATTTAACTAACAAAACAGTAAGTAGTTAGAATATATTTTTTAAAACAAATTGATAAAAAGCAAGCAACCCAATGGAAAAATAGACCAAGTACATGAACAGGCATTTCACAGGAAAGGAAACCTGTCAGGCCAATAAACTTATGAATAGATATTCAACCTCACTAGGAATCAACTTCACTAGGACTAGGAATCAGAAAATGCAAATTAAATAACATCTCATATCTATCTGGTTGACAAACATTTAACAAGTCTGACAATACCAAGTGTTGGTAAGATGTGGAGCAACAGGAATTCTCCTATACTATTGGTGGGAATGTAAATCGGTACAATCACTTTGGGGAACACTTTGGTAATATCCAGCATTTCTATTCCCAGGAATATACCCAAAAGAATTTCACAAATAGATATGCAAAAGGCTGCTCACTTCAGAATTGTTTGTGATAGGGAAAACTGGATATAACCAAAACTCTCCCAACAGAATACATAAATAATCACCAAGTATTCATATGACAGAATTCTATATGCAGCAGTTAAAATAAATAAACAAAACTGCATAAACCAACATGGATAAATCTCAGAAACAAAGGGTTGAGCAAAAAAATTAAAAATGCAAGGTGCTAAAGGGTATATACACAATGATAACATTTGTATTAAATTTAAATATGCTTAATGGTATTATGTATTGTTTACGGGGATATAAAAATATTCATGCCAGTGATATGTACCAATTTTGGTATAGTGGATGCCGCTGAGGAGAGAGGAAAAGGAGTGGGGTGAGGAAAGAACATTTTCCAAAAGATATTCAACAGAGTATTACAGAAGATGTTTTTTAATATTTTATTTCAAAAATAAAATCAGAAGTAAATAAGGCAGAATAATGTGTACACTGATGTTTATTATTCTCTATAATTACCCATATGCTTGAAATGTTTTATTTAAAAAATGAATAACTTTAAAGTAAAACTTCAGGAAAGCCTTTATCTTAATGACTGATAAAATTCCTAATAAATATTCGAATTTCAATAAAACTTAACTACAAAAAATGTTGAAATCCTTATTGTGAAAAATAAATATTTCAGTTTTAAGTACATGTCCATATTATAAATAGAAAGCCATCTAGACATAAATTGTAAATACCCTGATTACAGGGTAAAAAAAATAAATATATACACATATGGGTAAAAATTGGAAAGGAACACTGAAAAAAAGAATACAAACTTTTAAGCTAGAAGGATTTAGAGTAAAATTTCTTAATTTTTTTATTTTTAAAATTTGACTCAATGAATGAAATATTGTTAAAATAAATGCATTATGTACTTCCTGAAAAGTTTTTTCCTATATAAATAACATAGCAGCAGAGATTTAAACAAATAGAGATCTAGAAATGCACAGTGAAAAGTAGACAAGTCGTTTTAGGCCTTCCACTGAATTTGTGTCTTTCTGTGAATCAATCAGGTTAAACAAACAGGTACACAACAAAATGAGTTGGGTCAAATCACTATTGCCACCCAATTTTTCAAAGGCAATGGCAGTCAAGAACTCGCCCGGGAGTGATCCTTTGCTATGCCTTTAATTAAGGTGGGGCTTTTAAAACTCAATTGTTCCATTCGTGTCTCAAATCAATCAGATGAAATTCACCTTTTACGTGGCCTGAATCCTGATAGCTCGGCGCACTCGATAGGTAATTTAATCATCTCTGGTGTAGATGAACACAAACTCAAATTAGCTACTGAAAAAGAGTTGGTCTTCTCTGAGATAGCTGTGCTTTTCCACTTTTATGCAAGAGCTGAGCTTCACCAACTGGCTAGCTGGAGGTGTTATTAAAAATTTAGTGAAAGAAACAAAGGTGTGCTGTGGTGTCTCTTGTTACCCTTTCTACTGTTACTCCGGCAGACAAAAGGCACAGGGCCTGCCTCATGAATAATGTGACATGGAATATTCACAATCTATTTTTAATGGAGTCAAGTAATAACATTAAGAGAGATATTTGCAATCTTCAAATTTCACACAGTAACAGGCGCAGTAATTTGTTTTGATTCTGCACTGGGGATATTAAGATATTTTTTTTCCAGAAAAGGCACACTGTTAACGTAAAAATTAAAACTCCTCATTTATAGCATAAACAGGGAATATGAAAACGGACCAAAAGTTCAAAATGTCATAAGGGGAGAACACGACAGGGCAGACAACTAGATTTCAATCAGTTCTACTTACCCCTTGATGCAACTTCTTTGCTTTTCAAACCAGGCTGGGAACTACCAACCGGCACGCACGGTGAATTCTGTGGGAAGTTCCGTGATGTTTATTCACTGGGAACTTTGTTTCCTAGGACACTCGAAAGAGGTTCCTGGATGCTGCCACTGTTCACCCATCAGTTCTGGAAAATCATCTTAAATGTGCATTATAGAGCAAACAAATTTAAATTTTGAATGAGTAGACTGACATGGAAAGCCATGGTGTTGAAAACCAAGTGAGGACAGCCAAGGGAGGACTGCGATTTGGAGAAACTGGCGAAAAGCAATGTCAAAGCCCCCCTTTACCCACCAACTCAGAGACTGAGTCCTATGTGTTGTTTCTTTCCTGGACCCTCAAGCAATTTCTCTTCTCTTTGTGCTGTAGAGAGCAGAGCCAGCCACGATGAAGCAGGAGTTTGTCTGCCTATTAACTTAGCACCTTAGCAAGTATTTCTTGATCTCCTACTGTGTGCTAGGCACTGTTCTGGGAGCTGACGATTTAGCAGTGACCAAATAAAGAAAGCTCCACTGGATATCGTGCTCACTGCTGTATTCAAGCCCTTAGCACAGTGCCAGGTATATACTAGGTGTCAGTCAATCAGTCAAAGTTGATTTGAATAGAAATAAACAATCTGCTGGTGATCACTGGGCCATGCATACCCTAGCTGGGAAATGTGAGAAACAGCACAGGTAGTCAGGGTTTAGGCTAGGGCCTTATTCTGGTTTCATTCTCTGAAGGGATTGATTTATGCAAGAAGTTCCCACAAGTGGAATAGAGCCAGGGATAACCCAGATCCCAATTTTACGGCCCCTCATGCATCTTTAGATTTGTAACTTGCATTAGGTGAGGCAGCAAACAAACCAATCTCAGATATTTTCTTTTCTCTCCAGTCTCCACAGAATCAAAGTAGTCAGGGTTATATTGGGATGCTCGAACCATAGCTACATTTTATAGTCAAGGAATCCGGTATCAGGGAGGTCAAAGGATTTGCCCAAGTCACATGATGTGTTGGTGACACAGCTGTGACTAAGACTCCATTGTCTAGACCTAAGGCTTGTGATTTCTTTACTCACCTGGGAGCCTTCTGGCGTGTAAAAAAGACCTGAAACTCTCAGAAGAAAGAGGCTATGAACATGTGGGACCATCAGGGATGCCAAAAGCTAATTTTTCTGTTAAGAAATAAGGATCTCTGAAGAGTAGAAGAGAAGAAAAAAGCACATGAAAACCAGAGGACTTGAATTTTATTCTCTTCTGGATGTTGGCTTGTCTGCTTTACTTCTGTAGTTTCCTTCAGTGCCAACTCCCCCTACAGACTAAAATAAAGGTCTTTCACAAATTCCCTGCCTAAATGAAAAAGCAATATGTAAGAGTCTTAATACTTTATTAACTTAAAACATCACTCTAATAAATATGTATTAACAAACATAATGCACTCCAGAAGATCTAAAAAACATTTACAAACCTCACCAGAGGAAAATATCATGGTTTTTCTCTATGGTACACATGGAGGGCCAAAGAGTTGAAGACAGCCTTCACTCTCACAAACCTGCTAGCTTAGACATCTTTAAAAATCAGCTTAACAATAAAAAAGTGAATATACACACAAATCTTTTGAAGTATCTGTTCAGCTATGTTTTGTCTATGCTTGATAAAATCCTAACAGGTCAGAAGGGGAGGTTCAAAATTCTGTTTTGTCCTCTTGGATTTCCTTTGGAGGGAAAGAACAGACCCAGCCACTTGGAGGTATAACTGTTAGCTTTTGAAAGGCAAGGCAGAGGCTGTGACCTTAATCTCTGGCTCCCCATTACCTAGCGTAGGGCTGATACCATGGTAACTGGTGGTCACTAAACATTTGCTGAGTGAATGGATATTTTGTCCAAAGGCTTGCTCTGTGCTTCCACCTCCTCCGATGCAGCCTTCGCAGGCCTCCCGGAGGCCTCTAATCTCCTCTCATCACCAAGTCCACTGTTCTTCAGCTCCTTCTTGGGGTAGGCTCTACAGTGTATCTTGTAATTTCAAAAGCATGAAACTACTTCCCCAAATCAGTTTCTGAACCATTCTTCAAGTAGGAGAAATGATCCTTCCAAGATTTACAGGCAGCACCCAACAGAAAGGGGTCAACAGACTCCCCAGAAGGAAAAAAACAAAAATAACACTCATTCTTCATTCTAGATAAAAACATTAGCTTGTGTCTACCTTGTAAGTGTTGATTCCTCCTGTTCCACACAAGTGTCTGGGGTGGGTCAGGAGGAGGAAGACACTTGAAGGAACTTCCTGTCCATGGAGCAGGGCTGGGAAAGGGAAGCTGGTGGGGCCCAAGGTTTTATCTGATGCCCTCTTGACTTTGAGTCTTCAGGTATAGTGGAGCACTTCGGTGTGTCCAAAGCCCAGTGAGTCATTTGGTTCCCACTCCAGGATGGACTTTGAAAAGGTAACTTATCCTCTCTGGCAGCTCCAGGAAGTTCGGTGAAGGGGGATCACCCAGGTGGGATCTGCGGACTGGACTGGGGCGCCTGAAGTCCAAGTAGGTGGTGGCAAGTGGGGAGGCAGCCCTCCCTAGTGTTGTGTAACTGCTGCTTGTGGCCTGGCAGGGCGCTCACTTGAGCCCATGCTGCGTCTCCCGGTGCCGCCTGAGGTCCACCTTCCTCTGGAAGCCCTTCCCACAGAGGTCGCAGCCGAAGGGCTTGAAGCCTGTGTGCTTGCGGCTGTGGGTGATGAGGTTGGAGCTCTGGCTGAACGCCTTGCCGCACACCTGGCACTTGTGGGGCTTCTCACCTGCAGGGATGGAAGAGGGGAGGGGAGGAAGTATGAGTCTGTGATGAAGCTAGAGGGGACTCATTGTGACCCACTGTAACCCACATGTGCTCTTGGTGGCAGCTGGCTACACCACAGTCTGAGGACTTCAAGCAACGGGGAGGGTGATGTGTTATAACCCAAGTCCCGGGAAGCCATGAGTGCACCGGGTGAAAGGAAGACTTTCTGAGTGGGGGTTCCCAGCCATAGGGCCTCAAACCGTTTCCTGCTAAACGGAAGCAGAGCACAGGCCACGTGCCCTCCCCAGGCTGGCAGCTGAATCTACCCTGGGAGGACTCCCCTGCCTTTAGAAGCAGAGAGCTCCCATAGCAGATGTTCATAGAGGGTTGGGGTGGGGGTGAGGGCTGCTCTTCAAACCATGTGACTCTGTTCTAATGCAGAGGAAGTTTTCAAATCTGAGTTTCCAAGTGGGTGTTGGTTTGCATGGACCAATGAGCCTGTCGCCTTTCTTGCTCTTGAAGGACAACAGAATGCATCTGAAGCATGGACATTTCTCAGTCTTATTTTTAAAAAAATCCACATTTGGGCCACAAAGTATGTCTTAAGGTAGCTGATCCTTTTCTATCTTGATTTTACTTTCTCTTTATGAGGTTCACCACAGGATTCTTTATATACCAGCAACTCTTCCCCATAGATTAATAAATAACAGATAGAAATTCATGAGCTGTTTAACATTTGGATAAATTGCATGGATTTCCAAAGAGCCTCAGCATGGCATTATAGTCAGGGCTTGGCCTTAGAAAAAATGTAAAATAGATGAAGTTCATTTCTGAGGAACCCTCTGTTCCTCTTACTGTACCCATTTCTGTCTTCATGCTTCAGATTTCCTTGATAAGGAAACACCCATCAAAACTTATCCTATCTCTTTAGGGTCAAACAAATCTGAGAAATGAATTCTAGCTATAATGTAAATGTTTGATAAGGGCTTAATGTTTCATTCAGTCAAGATCCTAGTTGCATTTTGATAAGCGTCTGGAATACCTTTACTCAAAAGGAGTGAGTTACATGGAAATGTCAGGCAAGAGAGCATGATTAAAGTAGGATATTTTTCTGGGTTTTCTGATGGGGCAGCTGCACTGCCCAAACATACATATTTATAAACGTCAATGGTAAGTGTTTGGAATACACTGTAACTTGTTTCCAATCAGTACTCACATTCTGAAATAAAACAGGATTCTGGGTCTCACGTAAAATGTCTTGTTGACTATTAAAGAGGGTGCTCTTGGCATTAAAACTGCCACCTCCACACAATCAAAACTTTAGGGAAAGAGTCCAGGATTGGAAGCCAGAGCATTCCATGGTCCCATGATTTGCTCTCAGTCTGACCTTTGGTAAATCATCCCATCTCTTGAAGTTTCAGGATGGTACTTGCAGATTCTTTTACTTTATGGGATGGCAGTAAGGATCAAATGAAGTGATATACTTGAAAGCACTTTGTAAATTACAAAACACTATAATAGGTAAAGAACTATCATTCTTTATGGCATGTACTTGCTCATATTTTGAAAATAGCAATAAATGAATAGAAGCTCTCTGTATCTACCAATTCCCATGACTCTAAAAACAGAAAATAATAAACAGTGGTCACGGGCATAGACACTTGAGGTCAGACAGACCTGAATTGAAGTCTTAGCCCTGCCACTTGCTAGCAATGTGACCCTGAGACAGCTTACCTAACCCTTCATGCCTCATTTTCCTCATTGTCTAAAATGGGAATAAGGAATATTGCCAGAATTGTTGTGAGCATAAAATGAGATAATGCATTTTTTAAAGTGCTTAGCAGAGAGCTTAGTAATGTTTAGCATTGCTTTTTTTTCCTCTCCTCAATCAGAATAAGCTCCCAGACTCCTAAAAATGCAGCAAGATGCCACACATAAGTCCCTCCCCAAAAAGGCTGGGTGGGAGCCCTAGAGAAAGGCCTCAGTCTCTAGGTAAACATTTAGGACAACACTCTGAGAGGACCCTGGAGCTTTGTATTTCACCCAGAGCAGGTAGCAGATGGAGCGGCTGCTAAACGAGAGGAAAATATCCTTTGCAAGGACAGGGAACCTGCAACTGACCTGCTGACTGGCTCTTCAGATACAATCCCAAACCAAGGCCCCTCTGGGGGAAGGGAGAATCCTGCATGTAAACGAACCTAAGAGAATCTGCCTCCTTGTTTTCTTTAACACACTGCAGTGATTAATTCCATCTGGAAGGCCTCATTCACCATTCATTCTGGGGCCAGGGTATCACAGAGATGATAAATTATATTGGCCTCAGAGAGAAGAACAATGCCCCCTGCCCCCTACCCCTCACTGGGTGTTTCCTAAAAGCCAAGGGCCCTCAGCTCACCAGTGTGGATAAAGGTGTGTTTCTTCATGTCTGACTTCTGATGGAACCTCTTGCCACAGTACTGACAGGGGTAAGGCCGGGTGTCTGAGTGGATGAGCAGGTGTGTGGACAGTGTCGACGACCTCTTAAAGCTCTTGCCACAGATCTTACAGTCAAAGCTCCGTTCCTGTGGAAAGATGTGGCATTCCTATTGCAGTCATCTAGGCTGCCATTCTCCTCCTCACCATTAACCTGACTCTAAAATCCCCAAAGCCAGGGCTCTCCCTTCCTTCAGACTCGCCTTCCAAATAGCCTGCCCCGTTATTCTCTCGCTCCCCATTATTTCCAACCTCCGCTCTCCCCACCCTTATCCTCTTCCCCTTTAACACTTTTTCTACCCGTTCACTTTTCACCCACAACCCTCCACACCCCATGTCAAAAACGTATCCCCACCCTGCTTTTTTGACACCCACTTACAAACACTTCTCCACCCTCCTCAACAGGAGGCTTAGACCTCAGTCACTTCGGGCGCCCCCTCCCTCCAGCCAGTGCGGTTGTTGAGGGAGATGGGAGAATACTCTTTTTAGTAAATATGTCTCTGTGAGTAAGCATTCTGCTGTCATAGTTACTTCGGTACTCATTTGCTTATCTAGCCTGTCTCTCAGCTATACTAGTCTCCAGGCGGGCATCCTGTCAGGGACCTGATGTGTTGTAAGATTCTTATATGTCGAGCACCTGGAAGTTGGGCAATATTTTAAGCGAATGAACAAACGAGTAGGACAAATATGCCACTCGGTGCTCTAAGTGAGCTGAGATCCCTCCTTTTCAGTCGGGAGGGGTCAATGTAGATGAAGTGACAGCCATTTAGTGAAAAGAAGCTGAGGAAAAGAAACAGAGCTAATAAATCTGATCTATTAGCAGCAAGAGTGCATACAAACCCTCCTCAAACCCAAAGTAATGCTCGGGATCACACTCTGGAGTCTCACAATGATGTGACATCAAACTCTAAGGTTGCCTGGAGACCTGAGCCGACTGCCACCCACCTTTCCCTGCATAGCTACACCTGGGCAAGGGGATATAGTGGAGGAGACTGGGGGCAGTCGGAGGAAGACCAAGGAGAAAAGCTGTCAAGCAGACACCTGCCAGTGCTGCACAGTGAACATCCCCGAATGAGAAAACCTGAGCCGGGCCGTGCCCGGCCGTGCGCCCCGCTCTTACCTGCGAGTGCACGGCTTTGTGCTGCTCCAGGCTCACCGCGTGCCCGAAGGTCTTGCCGCATATCTCGCAAGCAAAGGGTCTCGTGCCGCTGTGGGACCTGCGCACGTGCACCTCGAGCCCGTGTGGCGTGGAGAACACCTAAAGCGGTTGAGACCGGGGAGAAGGACGCTGAGAGGGGCCGAGGGGCGCGGACGCCAGCTGCGCGCCGTCAGGGGAGGCGGGCGCTAGGCCCGCCAAACTGGCGGCGCGGAAGCCTCACCTTGCTACACTTGATGCACTTGTAGGAGCCGCCGCCCAGCAGCAGGCGGGTGCACAGCAGCTCCGACTCCACTTTGACGCCGGCGCCCTTGTCCGCATGCAGCCCGTGGCCGCGCTCCGGGTACAGCCCGCCCGCCGCAGCCGTCGGCCGTTCATACAGCCCTGCCGCCGCGGGCCCAAAGTCGCCGTAGAGCCCTAGGCCCGCGCCGCTAGCTGCGCCGCCTCCTGCGCTGCCTCCCCCGGGCGCCCCAGCCCCTGCGCCGCCAGCCGCCCGCTCCGGGCCGTACAACGCCGCGGGATGGCCTGGCTCCGGGGTGCGCTCGCAGAAGAGGCCCAGGCCGGCGCCGCGCTCCAGGGCCGCGCACGGCCGGTAGCTCTGCACCAGGTGCCTCAGGTCAGACCCCGCCAAGCCGTTCCACGAGTACGGCTTGAAGGGCAGGGAGAAGGGCTGAGCTTCGTCCAGCGACTGGCACACCGACTTCTCTGAGGCTGCGGAGACACAAGAGGGCGTCCGGTCAGGCTTAAAACCGAGGGGCGGACGCCGCCCGGCTGCGTCTGCCAGTCGGGTGTTTGAGACTGAGGTCACCCAGCATTTGTGGGGCACTCCATGCGCCAGGCGTCGCGCAAAATGCCTGGGACGCCCCTAGGATAAAATGCGTACCCGATCCCTGGGGCCTCGAGGACCACTGGAGGCGGCAACGCAGGAAACATAATTAAAATGACCTCAGGTGCCGAGACAGGTAAATTCTGTGACACGGCCAGCGGAAGCACACGACATTAACAGGCTTTTTTTCTGGCTGGACCAGCGCACCTGGCGGTCCCACAGAAAAAGGCGCGTCACACTGTGCTTAATAAACGCTCTGAGCTGAGCTGTGAGGGAGAAGGCAGCCACTGTTCGGGACCTGGACAGCGCTCGTGGGCACAGGGCCCAGCGCCCAGCGCCTAGGGCCGGCACTCTCTGGCCCCTGCGCGTTCCCACTCCATCCCTTTTCTTTCCCGGGATCGATAAGGAGGGAGGGAGAGGACCAATAAAATGCGGCCTGGCCCACTCGAGACGTATCTGCCTGGGGGAAAAAGAAAAAGCCAAAAACCATAACAGGAAGGCGTTAACATTCCTTCAAGTTAAGTACCCATCCAGTGCTGGGAGCAAAGGGGCAGCGGGAAGGGGGTTTGGGGATTGAACTGACTACCAAATACTCCTCATTCCCATCATAATTTGACGAGAAAAAAAAACAGCCGAGTTAATTAAGAGAATTGTTTACAACTAAGGTTTGGTTTAGCCACCAACTGTAAGGGGTATAGCTTTCCGAATTCGAGCCTTCTGCACCCCCAACCCACGGGAATTTTGCTAAAACCAGTTGCTGAGCATATACTTTCTCTAAGTGCATACGGATTTACAAATCTGTTCACACACTCCGCAGCCTCCAGTTCAGGCTATCCGCTTTAGAGAGAGGCTGCACCCCGAGTTTCCGTTGGAGAGATGCCGGTGGCGCCCAGTCCTTGCGGGATGATGTCCTGCACAGCCACACTCGCTGGAACAATGGCTTTAGCCAAGTCAGCGCACTCAGTGCGGGATGAGGCTGCGGGTGTCTTTTAAAACTAGTAAATGCAATCTGGAAATAACCTGCCCTTGGCAGATCCGGCCTGTCTGCGTTCCTTCCCGCCTCCCGAACCCGAGATCGCCCCCACCCAAAGTACAATCACCCAGTTTTCGCGAAACTCGGCTGCTGGCTGGAAATGAAACCAGACGGCTGGTCCCCAAAATTGGGCCAACGAGGCAGAACGAAAAATGAAATGGGCCCCCAATTCGTGTTTGCGAAGACCCAGCGGGAGGCCGAGATTTTCGTCCCGGAACAGATTCCTCCAGCTGGGCACCCGGCTCTGCCAGGCCCCACGCCCCGTAATTTAAAAAGGCAACGACACGTTTATTTGACTGCCCAGGTCTCCGTTTGAAACTCGGGGGGGCGGGGGGGGTCTGGATTCTGGGATCCCAGCTCTTTCTTAACAACAATCAGCTCTGGCCAGAAAACGAAATGTTGATGTTGCGGACGGTCGAGGAGATTAATTTATTTTCTCTCACCCACCGGCTCCTCGCAAACGAATTAATTAGGGATAAATAGCCCGGATCCCGCTGCTCTGGATACAGGCAGCAGACCCCAAAAGCAGGCTGTCACAGTCCCCGAGAAGCCGGATGTTTCCCCGACCGGTCTCTTACCCCATGGAAACGACCCCTCCTCTCGGAAAGACTTTCCGCCATCCATTTAGCATTTCTGCGCCCAAAGCCGTGCCGGTTCATTTCTCACCGAGGGATCCTTGACGCCAGGGCCTCAGAGCTCCCAATGGATCCCTACCTGGAGACACAGAGGGCGACGGAGGCCTCCAGAAGTCCTCAAATTCCGAGCTCCGATCGCAGACGCTGCCCTCACAGCTGCCGGGGGACGCAGAGGCTCTGTCGGGGGCCTCGGTGAGCTGCATCTCGGGGGACAAACGACCCCGGGGCTCCGCCTTCGCCCCGCCTGCGCTCGAGGTGCTGTCTGCGGAGAGGAGGTAGGATAGGGGCTCAGGGTGGGCCTACTTGGGCCCGATGGTTCTGAAGTAGCGCTCCCCAAACCGTGGCACCCGGTCTTCCTCCTCTCCCAGACCTGGCCATCAACCCTCCGAAATCCGAGGGTGAGAGCCGAGAGGCCGTGGCATCTAGGCGACAAACCCCGAAGGAACCCAGGCGGTAGAAAACAAAACAGCCATCAAAGGGGGGGGGGGCGTCAAGCCTCTTTTCCCGGTTCCTGGGGGATGGCGTAGCGGGGCGGGGGGAGCAGAGTCTACGTTCCCGGGAGCAGCTTATCCCCACCCGCGCGCGTCCCGCACCTGCTCCGCCTGGCGCCAGTACATTCTCCAGGCGGAGAGAATAGTCGGGTCCCGGGGAGCGCGGCTGGTGGTAACTGTGAGCCTTCTTGCTCTTGACAAGGAACGAACGCGGCATGATGGTCGGGTGCGCTCCCCACTCCGCTCCAAGGGTCCCTGGAGCCGCCGTCACCCCACGGTTACCCCGAGTTCTTGCTCAGCCTCAGCTAGGTGGAGACCTGCGAGAGACGAACCGGGTGGAAACGCGGGTCAGCACGCTCCAAGTCCGGGACCGGGCGGAGGTAGGGTTCAGGCCGGGGAGGAGCAAGGAAGGCCCGCGGGAGGAGGGGCTTGGCCCCACTGCGCCACGCTCACCAGGTGGCACTCGGACAGGTGGCACGAGCCCGCCGCTGCAGCTGCCGACGCCGCCACAGCTCAGCGGCAAAACCCGTACCAGGGCCTGGGCTCAAGCCTCTTCCTTATGCCTTGCCCACGCCCCTCGGCCCCTCCCCTTTCCTAGCAAAACTCGCTCCGGCAATCAAACTCTTTAAGAGTCAGAGTCCCCAACGGGCCAGTTACTTCAACTTGACCACTCACTGACTGCCAGGCTCTTGCTTTCGGGCTAGGGAAGAGGTCGGAGACGCGTGGATAAATTCAGGGCCGGGGGAATGTGTCAGTGGTCCGCGACCCGGAAGAGGCAAGGATCCAAGCCCTCCAACAGCGGGCTACACACAGGAGTGAACAGGGTGCAGGGGCGGGAAGCACTAGGCAGGCTGTGGGGCGGGATCCGAGGACAGCAGCAGAGGGCCCGGGGCAGCAAAAGCCAGAGAAAGAAGCCAGGAGAGCAGAGGGACAAGAAGGTGAGGCGGGGAAAGTGGCAGAGGACTGACCCCGGCCCGGGGAGGAACTCGCATCCCGGCGATATTGCTCGGCTTCACACTCGTGTCCCACGCGGGGGAAGAAAAAAAGTTAGCCTGGAGAGGCGGGTGCGGTGGGAGCAGACAGGGTCCGGGGCGAGACACCCCAGACCAAACTTCGGAAACCAAGTCCTGGGAAAAAGCACTTTCCGCTCTCTGCTCACCAAAACACTTGTCCTGGGGAAGTTGAGCCGGATCCGCGCGCGCTGGCGGGGAAACGCGCGGTGTCCGGGAGTCCGCGGAGAACCAACAGTTTAGCGGACGTCGGAGAGCTCAGGCTGCTCTGTCAGTTGACAGAGCCGGGGCTCCGGCGCCCGCCAGGGAGAAAGCTAGCTGCCCGCTACGCCGCTCTCATTAACCCCCCAATCAGTTCACCTAATCCCAGGGGCGAAACCTGAGCCTGGCAGGGAGGCGGGGCAGCGCCTCCTCTGCGCTCGGGTCTCTCTCCGGGGGGCGGGATCTTAAGGGCTAGGAGGTCTAGGGAAATGAATCTGCTTTTTCCTCCCACGTTGAAGGCACTAGGGTCCAGGTTCACTTGCGAGCTGCAGGCTCTTCGGGCACCGCAGCTCTCCGTTCTCGGCTAGTTAAGAAATAAGGGCGCCGGGGACCCTGGGCCGCCTTGTTCTTGGGCTTCGCACGGCTTAGACTGCCAGACTAGGCGCCGCGCGGCTCCCAGGGCAGTTTGCAGGGCACGGCCTGTCTGCCCTTTGGCGCTCCGGGCTCAAAACGAGTTCTAGGGGACTTGTTCCCTGGAGGGCATTCCACGCCCCATTGTGTCCCCTTCCTCAGGGGAGGAGTAGGGAGGGACTTGGGAGAAAAGCTGAGGCATGTAATGGAGCCCTAAGCGATGTTTCCCGCGTGCTAAGTTCCAAAAGGCCTCTAGGGGTGAGGGTGCCTAGGGTCGGAGCTTCAGGAGGCTTCGGGGTGCTGGGCTGCCCTAGGGCTTAGTTCTGCCGCTACAGTTTACCCGGCGCCCCGGCATGAGCCTCCCCTTCAGCCGTAAAATTGGACACTACGAACGCAAAAACCAATTCCTTAAACAACCCTGAAACTCAAGGGAAAGGAAAAACGGGTGAAAAGGTCCCAAGGGCCCTGCTGCACCTTGAGTGAGTGTTGGCGCGGAGCTGGACTCCCTGGGCAGGGCGGAGAGCGAGGAGTTGTCCGCGCCAGCGCTGAGTCTGGACTAGCTGGGACCGCGCGGGATCAGGCTGGCGTGGGGGCTTCCTCCCCACCCGAGCCACAGCCCTGCGCCTCTCTTGCATCCTGGCTGGCTCTGCGGGTTCCTGGGAGTGTAGTGGGTAGAGGAGTGATAGAGCCCAGGGCTGAGCGCGTGGGAAGGCGACCTCGCGTAGCAGCTGGCGGCCTCGGGAGGGGCGGGGGGCGGGGCGGCCCTCTCAGAGCACGCGGGGCCCGCAGGGCCTCTGTTCACGGTCAGGGCCTGGGACGGCGGGGGCTGAAGGCGCCGAGCGGGCAGCCTTCTGAACCCAGCTGCCGCCACCTCCCCACCAGTTGTTTCCTTCCCGGGTGGATGGCGATCCCTTGCAGAACCATCAAATAGCCTGGCGCGCGTCCCGTGCATCAGATCCCCAGTCCCGCTGTGCGGGTCGCGCTGGGACCCAGCGGATAGAGCTCTCCGCGCTCCCGCACAGCGGCGGGCAGCGAGTGGGAACCCGGTAGCGTCCTCTGGTCGCCCCCGCAGTGCCTGTGCCGGCCAGTTTCCGCAGTCGCCCCCGCCAGGGAGAAAGGCGCAGAACAGGCGCAGCGAACCTACCTGCGGGGTCAGGGCGCGGGCACCGCGCTCCGAGAGCTTTCAAACTGAGTTGCTTTCGGGACAGACCTCTCTGTCTCTCTCTCTCTCTTTTTTTAAATCTCCTTCCGAGCTCAGCCCCCAAAACCACAAGCTTCACTTCCTGAGCGTTAAGGAGTAGCTCGCTTAGCCCTCTCAGACCTGCTCCCCACCCCCCAATCGGGCGGCGGGGCGCGCTCCTAGGCGCGAGGGGTTAGGAGGCAGACAAGGGGCACGGCTTTTCCAGCCGTCCGCGGCGGCCCTCCCAATTTTTTCTCGGTGGGACGGCTCGAGGTGGGGAGACCCGGAGGGCCCAGACACTAGAAATGACTCGAAAGAAAATGAACTATTCTTGGCTCCTGGGAGGCTTCCGTAGCGAGAAGTCACAGATTCAGGACACAGATTGACTGGAGCGCCGGGAGTGGGAGCGCACAGCTTCCAGGAGGTTTCCCCGCCCATCTGGCTCGGGATACCCTCCCCCCAACCCCGCCGCCTGCTTGGCCTGCGCCGCCCCTGGGTCCTAGCCGTGAATCACCCGCCCGCGGTGCCGCCGACCTGGAGCCCTGCGAGTGGCCGCGGCGTCCGCAGAGCGAAACCTGCCTCGCGTCCCCGAAATAGCTTGTTGTGGAAACACTTCGGGATAAATACGCCCAACGAGGCTGAAAATACCTTGACACCCAATCCCAGAGGTTTGCTCATTTCCCTTCGGATTTAGGTAATGGTTAAATTTGGAAGAGGTGGGCGAGCGCCGAGCCCCCGGCGGAGAAGGCGCTGGTGGCGCGTCCCGCGGGCGCCCGGCTGGGCTGGTGGGCGCGCCCTCCCCACCGCGCGCTCACCCGCACGGTGCCGGGACCGCTCTGCTGGCGGCTAATTTCCGGTGGTCGGAGCTGCGAAATTAAAGTCCGCCCGGGAGGGAGCGCGCGGGGGCAGCGACGGCGGCTGCTCGGCTGACCCCGCCCTGCCCGGGCCAGCCTTGGGGAGAGGTATCTCAGGCGCGGGCTCCGCCACCGCCTGAGGCCGCACCCAGGCACCTGGTCCTGAGGGGAACAGTAAAGCGCCATAAAAGCACAACCCTGATGATTATTGAAAAGTAAATCTTCACGGGGATTGTGAGTTCCACGAGGGTGGGCAACCGAATCGACACCATTATGTTTCTGGTAGTCTCTTAACGAATGTCTGTGGACTGAGTAAATGAATGAATTGCATTAATTAATTAATTATATTAATAGGACAGGAAAAAAATTAAAATCTCACCCAAAATAAACAATGCAGCAACCTCCAACGCTAGTCTGTGTGTCATGATCCATAGTGTGGCCTGTTGTGTCGTCGTTAAGCCTAAACCCTTTTCTGACAAGAGTGGGTAGCACTGTAATTACATTACTTGCCTAAATGCATTGAGTTAGATTTTGATTACTACTTCATGCACAGTAAGTCTCCAGTGTCAGATAACAGGATAAGGGAGCAGAGCTCCTAAGTTCTTGTAAAATAACCACCATATATTAGGATAATCCAAAGTTGTCATGAAATTTAAAAAGTCCCTTAGAGCCCTTTGCCTAGAGAATGTTTTTTAAAGTGATTTTTAATTTGCACTGTAAATCTCAAGATTTGCGGAAAATATTTGGTTACTATGGCAGTGCTTCAAGCATGCTCTAATAAATTATGTTTTATACAGCAATGGCTGCACACCTACTGTGTGCCAGGTGCAGGACTAGACACACATCTTAAATGTGTGCCTAGCTATCCTCTTTACACTACTGTTTGCCCAACGCACCCTTTATAAATAAATGCAGAGGTAACCAATCTTAATCAGAAGGATTACAAATATTGAATTAGCTGAAGGGAAATTAAGGACATTTTGTTAAGTTTTTATTTCTTGTGTGCTTTGCCTGGCCCAAGATATAGACATCTTAAAGCAGTCCAAAACAAATCTTTCATTTATCCCTTATATTCTCTGCAAAGCAGAAAAAGGCAATTTAAAAGAAAATGATAAATGGGCCAAAAGAAAATTTATTAGCAGTCAAGTTCTAGAGATATGGCTGAACCATTTCCTTTGCACATTAGCAAGTTCAAAGTCAAAATTTCTTGAAAAGGTGATGTGACTATTTAGTAGTTTAGTTGAGTGCTGCTGTTTGAAGTCTCAGAAAACATGGGAAGGCTATGAAGGGGAAAGATAATCACCTTGCGTATCACCTTAGAATAAGTCCATTTCATTTAGATTAAATCTAGTCATCTTGCTTTGTTTGCCCTTCACAGTCTGTGAGTTTGCCAAGTAAAACTAGGGGCTGGGACAGGAACACCACAGAGAAGCATGTGGGACAAGATGGCCCTGAATCCCCCTTTTTATGCTTTGAACCATGTGGCTGTGTTACCAATTCAAATAAATAAATTCACATTAATAATATTTAACCAGCGAGAGCAGGTCATTTCCCAGGAGTATAGTGTTGAAATGGGATTTCCACACTTAGGGGGAGCAGAGGAGAAAAGTAAGAAGAAGAGCATTGGGAGAGGTGAAGAAACTTGTCAAAGAGCAGCCAAGAGCCAGGACTGGAAATGATAGAATGAATCTGATTTCCCACCACTCCAGACTACCTCTCATTTACTGTGAACCTGAGAGTAAAGAAGATGTCAGCTCCCATCCCCAAAGTGCATGTTTTTTAAGCTAGAAAGAATCCCTACACAGATATGTTCCTTTGGAACTGAAATAAATCTAATAGCAAGCATAATGTAGGCTCCGGGCATAATTGTCTATAAATACCGGTTTTCCCCAAAAAAGGATGTTGAATTTACTAATTGCTATTAAATAACAATCATAATGTATCTGCAGATGCCAAATAACAAGTGATCTTCTTCATATGGCAATCATTTCCAAGCTCCGGCCAATGGCCTATTTATTTCAAGCAACATCTCATAGGTCAGAATTTCCCTATGGCAGAAGATCTGAGACATTTTATAAAAGACAATTGTAACAGGATATTACCAGTCTCTTGTTTATTATTTTTTTCACAGAGCTTTACAGTTACTATCTCTGTTCTACTTGGAGGAGGCATAGGGAGAATGGGTGAACCCCACTCTCAGGAACCCCAGAGAGGGCGGATGCCCCAGTTTCCCCTATACATTTCTGTCCTGTTTGCCTCATTAGATCTTCACAGCGATGCTACCAGGAGGGGAAAGAGTCCATGCTTTTTGTAGACAGTCATTTATGGGTATCGATTTCTGTTCTGCCAGTTACTACCCCTGTGACCTTGAACAAGTTAGCTCAACTCTCCCAGCCTCAATTTCTCACCTGTAAAGTAAAAATACCTACCTACCTTGCAAGACCGTGGAGCAGTCCTTTGATTTCCACTCTTCACAGTTTACTCTGGGTGCCAAGAATGGAAGAATGCTCCCAGTAAGAGTGTCTTAGGTTTAAACCTCTTTGCTCCATGTCCGGCTTCCATTTATTCAACTTGGCATACGTAAACGTTGTTACAGCAATTTGCAGGGACTTACCACTTTTTTGGTTTATTT